TCTCTCTTCCCCCCCCCCCCCCCCCCTTAAAGAGTGACTTGCGTTAGGTTGCTCCTCGAGGGGCCTGGTGCATGGCGTGATGTGATCTCATAAGTCGGGTCTAATGTGTAACGGTTGGTGGTACACCAGGAACCTCTGGGAGCGGAGATCGATCGTAGATAGGGTCCGTCAGGAAAAACTTATCGGGATTTTGGCTGGGCGAGCGGCGTCGCTTGATGTTGGGTGCGGTGATTTGGTTGGAGTTGGTGTGCGCCTTAGCTTGGACTATGAAGGATTGATGCTGCCGAGTGTCACGGCTCAGGTCGATGCGACCGAGAAGCACAACCTGGGCGGCGTAGGCTGGTGTGACCGAGCTGGATGGCTCGGGTAATGAAGTTTGACATGACCAGACGGTATGATTCGGGTTTTGAGGACTGAAGTGACCGGTCAGCACGACCCGGGTGCGATAGGACTGATGTGTCGAGCGGCATGACTCGACGTTGTATGACTGATGTGGTTGAGTGGCATAGCTCGGGCGCTATATGACTGATGTGGCCGAGCGGCATGACTCAGGCACCGTATGATTGATGTGGCCGAGTGGCATGGCTCAAGCGCTATATGACTGATGTGGCCGAGCAACATGACTCAGGCATTGTATGATTGATGTGGCAGAGTGGCATGGCTCGGGCGCTGTATGACTGATGTGGCCAAGCGACATGACTCGGGCACCGTGTGACTTATGTGGTTGAGCAGCATAGCTTGGGCACTGTATGACTGATGTGGCCAAGCGACATGACTCGGGCACCGTGTGACTTATGTGGTTGAGCAGCATAGCTTGGGCACTGTATGACTGATGTGGCCGAGTGGCATGGCTCGAGCGTTGTATGACTGACGTGGCCGAGCGGCATGACTCGGGCACTGTATGACTGATGTGGCCGAGAGACATGGCTCGAACACTGTTTGACTGACGTTGCCGAGCGGCATGGCTCGGGCACTGTATGACTGATGTGGCCGAGCGACATGACTCGAGCGCTATATGACTGACGTGGCCGAGCAGCATGACTTGGGCACCGTATGACTGATGTGGCCGAGCGACATGGCTTGGGCACTGTATAGCTGATGTGACCGAGTGGCATGGCTTGGGCGTTGTATGACTGACGTGGCCGAGCGACATGACTCAGGCATCATATGACTGATGTGGCCGAGCGGCATGGCTCGAACACTATATGACTGATGTTGTCGAGCGGCATGGCTCGGGCACTGTATGACTGATGTGGCCGATCGGCTCGGCTTTGCCTTCGACCGAAATGACCCAGACCGGAACCTTCTCAGCA